GTGCTAAATGTCTCTTTGATGCCGAATGCAGAGCAGCTCCAGGAGCATGGAAATGCTGTATTTTAAGGCAAATTTACCCAGAAAAGCAAGTCGGAGACATATTTAGTCACAAGATTTTCAGCATATGGTTACTGCAAGTAAATAAAATTACACACACCATAAAAATCACGTCTCATAATCAGAAAGATATGATTAGATTAGTAAATATTGAAAAGTTCCAGATTTTGTTAGTAAAGAGAAAAAAAAAATTTAAATGTGATCTTTTGTACTATGTAGCAACTATGCAACACATTCTGCTATGAAGGTGACATATGCTGATCTCTAAGTGAAATACATGGTTACGAAGCAAGTCTGACATATGAAGATGTTCAAAAAGGCATTGAAGTACACAAAAATAATCCCTAAAGATATGAGAGGATCAGTTTTTTGAAGAAAACTGTAATCTCTACTCACATGCAGATTATAACTTCAATTTAAGATGCCTCTGATTTTACTACTTCATTTTCCCCATTGGAATGATTTCTGTGGTTTGATTGTGCTAATTGCTGGGGCTCATCTCTCACCATTTTGTCTCTTTAGAAAAAGCAAAGCCCCATGAAAATGAAACGATAGCCATGTGAAAAGTACTAAAGCAAAAGTTCCTGTGCATGCCACTGCTATGGTCAGGCCGGACCTTTCATCTGATGGTATATTCTGAAATGATAGTTCTGCATCTTGCCTACTTGATGCTGAATACTTATGAATTAAAATAGAGGGTGAGGGGCAGGCAGCCTAAGTGCTTGCCTGGCAAGCTTGAGGTCATGAGTTCCGTTCCCAGTACAAAAAAAAAAAAAAAACCTTAGAAGGTGAAAGTTGCATGATATGTTGTTTTTCATAGCAGAAACACTAAAAAGATTCTCTTTCAATCATGGTTGCTTAACTTTTTAAAACACACACTCCCTTTTGAGAAACAAAAAGCTCAGGCTCTCTCTGTAGTATTTAAAAATTGTAAATGAATGATTATAAATAGGTAATATGTGGACATGTTTAAGATTTATTTTCATTTAAAATCACCATAACACAAGCCTGCTCCTGTTTTCCACAAACTTTTCTACCCTTGGAAAACACCAGAGAAAATCACTGGTAATTTCACCGCTAAGCCTGTTGCCTTGCTTTATTTTCATAACCAGATTAGCAGGTAAAAATAGATGGAAACGTAGGTGGATGAGTAGGTAGATGGATGGATGGATGGATGGATGGATGGATGGATGGATGGACGGACGGATGGATGGATGGATGGACAGATGGATGAATTAAACTTCTGCCTTTGAGGGAAGTGGTATCTACATCTCCTTGAAAATCATTAATGCGGATAATTCACAGAGGAAATTCTAATCAAAGCCATATGATTGAGAAAACTACAGTACTCAAAATATCCTTTAATCTATTTAACTAAAATACTGTCTATTTCACTTAATTCCATTGAGGACTCTTTAAAGTCCTCCAACACACGATTAGTACTCCTAGTTGGAATGGTTGTCTAAGGCAGAAAAGAACTTACTCAAAATATTGCAACTCAATAAACTAAGTTTAGGACTAATTAATTAAGAAGAAAACAATACATTGTGTTGAGATGACAGCTATCATAATAGCCAATATTTGGTAAAATTAGAAAGTCAACTGTAAGAAATATCTAAAGTTAAGGTTCTTAGGTATTCCACTGGAGATAGCTCACTGAGATACCTCCAGGATGGAAAAAAGTGGGTACAACTGTGCCTTATCTAAGGAAAGCCCTGCTGCAGATGCACATATATATAAAAATATGGTTATAACCCATAAAATTTTATGAGTTTTAAATGCTTTTATTAACCTACAAAAGAGTGAAAACCCATAAAGGGAATGAAAACCTCTTAATTCAAATAACAAGTTCGCTGGAAACTTAGAAAGTTTCCTTAACCCCCCTACACACACACACACACACACATAGCTTAGTGCCTTTTCTAGGTACATACACTATCTAACGCTTTGGAACACAAAGATTATAAACATTTTTTTACACAAATATTCATAGTGTCATCATTTAGACTTACCCGGAAATAAATGTTTAAGCTGAAATTATTGATTAACTAGTGTCATTTCTAAGCATCAGTATTAAAGTATATATGATTATGAGTGTGTTCCAAGGGGCTCTCTGATAAAGAATTTCTAACTCAACGTGAAAAACATAGAAACTACATGGCTTCCTGAGAAGATGGCTTAGGGCTTTAGTAAGAGATGCGTCCTGTTTTAAACGTAAGTTACAGAATACAGAAGAGACTGATGCTACTTTCCAATGAACATTTAACTTGATAGTATTTAAAACAGGGCTTTTCTATTAAAAACCCCATGTAAAAAGACAAGAATTTATTCTACACAGATCAGAAAACATGATAATTGTATATCTAATATTAGCACTACTGGGCATTTTTCACTCTGAAATATTCAGTAAGCATTGTACTCACTAATTATGATCCTATCATTTTTTTTGACTTTGTATTTTCAGACATTAAATGCTTACCTGAAAACTGACATTTGGTTGCTAAGAGATATAAAATCAGTTTGGAAGGCTTCAATGACTGTCTGAAAATTGCCCTCTTGGATTTTGCCTGAAGGTAGTGAAAGTGAACTGTTACCAGTGTGAGGATTTATCTTATTTGTATTAAAAGATAATTCAAAGGTTCATAAAAGAAATGAATAACTTCCAATTTGCACATTTTAGAACAAATACCTGGCTCTTTACAGAGCTTAATGATTTTCCATTCCACAAAACTAAAATATAATCACATTATTTTATAATCAAATTTAACTGATGAGTTTATAGTACAAAAGGCATTTAATATTTTAACAAAAATCTTATAAGATATGAAATCATTCAATGGGCATCCCCAAAATGAAGTTCAAACTCAATGACTGTAAGAATATCTTGTGCCTGCAACTTTGACTACATGATTCTTTAAGTGTCTGAAGAGACAAGACAGCTTGGTCTGTGTGGTTGTTCTTACGCTTTATCAGAGTCAAGCAGCACGCTACTATAAATATGTACTTCCCAACTGGTTGTCAGCTTATCAAAAATAAATATTTGCCTAATCAAAGAAAATATTCCTCTAAAATGAAAGCAGTATTTTAATCAGCAAATATGTCTCTTAATGACACTGAGCCTCTTCATATGCACATCCCATAACCTTACAAGGACAAACTTTTAAATTTTATTAGAGAAAATGCATTGAAAAGAGGTGTTTTGAATGACTATAAATCCAACAGGTTCGATTCTTAATTCCCATGCATTTATCACAAAGCTATTGGTAACGTATTCTAATTTCCTATCAATGCCTTACTGGAATATTTCACAAGGATTGTGACAGCGTGCGTTTCCTTGTACACTTCGTGAGCTGACACAGTCCGCTTGCCCAGCCCTCTCCTTACTCCACTTCTGACACACCTGCATCTTCTGTGCTGCTTTTGCACTAAGTCATATTGCTGCTCCTTAGGATCTAAGACCACTAGTAAAATCCTGTTACAAGTAATGTCTTCAAAGTAGGTGTGCAACTGTGAAAGGGCTACCAAGTGCCCATCTTGAGGAAGAGAAAATGAAAGTTTCCTTAGTTTTCCAGGTTTCTGCTTATTTTAGGAGTACACCTTCATAAACAAGTTCTTTCTAACCGAGGCGGTAGCCAAAATGTGATGCTTGGGCTCGAACATAATGATGTCAAAGAACATTTAAGGAAGAGGCAAGAAAACTGCTTCAGAGATGAAACAGGAAGCAAGGCAACCAATCTCCATCACCAAAGGTAACAGAAAGCCCTACCAGGTTTTCCTGCTGAGTTTTTGTGCAGCAGCAAGGACTAAATCAATACGCTTATCCTCACCCTTGAGAAACCTCTCGTCCCCAGACAGAAACTGCTGGGTCCCTCTCCACTGGGTTTTTCCAGTAACTTTTGTGCAGCAGAACAACCTAATCAATATGCACAGCCTCATCTTAGAAACCTTCTGCTCGCCAAACGTGCAGCAGAACAACCTAATCAATATGCACAGCCTCATCTTAGAAACCTTCTGCTCGCCAAACAGAAACTGCTGGGTCCCTCTCCACTGTGTCCTCAGGGGCAGAAACTGCCACCCGAAAGAGAGGAGAATTGAGCGGTAGGCAGGGGCAAACACAGGTATGTGAGGCTCCAGCATCCAAATCTGTTAAGTCCATTCAAGAACCGGGCTCCTGGACATCCCTGCTAGGGGGCTCCAGAGGGGTCAGAAGAGCTCCAGGAGTCCTAGAAGTCCTGAGCAGCGCCGTCCTCACACTCCCAACAGTGACCCCCTCCGGCCCCTAGAGCTGAGGCCCTAGCTTTCTAACCCGGAGTGAGACCTCTTTGGAGTAGGATAGCAGGTGTGTGGGTGGCAGCCAGCGGAGACTAGACCGGCTTCTCCGCGGGAAGGAGTTGCTGCGGACGCGTCCGGAGGTGGTCGTGGGGAGGGGTGCTTTAGGAAATGGGCTAACTGGCATCTGCTACCCTCACTACCCACCACCCTTTCCACGCCCTCCTGACCACTTCTTCCGAGGCTGAGGCTGACGGTGGCCGCCTGTAACTAAGATTCAGGGTGAGAGGGAGCCGGGGCCACCAGGGCATCTGTCAAGGACCATGCAGGTGGGCACAGCCTGGAAGGTCAGCGAGGCCAGAGCTCGGAGTTAGCCGGGCCCGGAGAGTGAGTGTGAACACGCGCGCGCGCGGCCGGGCCGGGGGCGCTGGGCGAGACGGTACGCGCGAGGCCAGGGGTACCCCAAGGAGAGGCAGCACACCTCGCCCGCGGACGGCAGAGGTGGAGGGCGACGGGGGCTGCAACACTGTGAAACTTAGTGCAAAACGCATCCCCCCCCCCAGGATGTGCCCCCGCGCCCTCAGACTCGCTCCAACGCCTGCCCAATCCCCCACCATCGCCCACCCCACCCTGCAAAATTCCCCCCGAGCCCTCGGTCCCCGGCGGGTCATTACCTCTCCCGGAGGCTGAGCGGGGGGCGGCGGCGGCAGACACTTTTAGGCTGACTTTCCTGCGTTCGCGCGTGAGCGTGTGCGCGCCGAGAAGGAGCTGTAACCTGCTATTTATAGACCCGAGCCTTAGCACCGGGGGCCGAGCACCCGGAGCAGACCAGCAGGCGGCGGCGCAGGGCGCGGGCCGCGGCTCCCGAGCTCCGCCGCGCTCAGCTCTGCTCGGGGCTCCGGCCGCGCTCCCCGCCCGCCCCGCCGCGCGCCCCGAAGAAGTTGGTACCGGCGCGGCCGCCTCGCGCGCGGCTCACACGCCCCCCGGCGCAATTGCTACTTTCCCCTACCCCCACCCGGCCTGCCCCTCTTCCTCCGCTGCTCTCTGCCCGCTGTCTCCTCCCAACGTCGCCAGCCGCCGAGCAGAAGCCTCGGCCACGGGGACGGTCGCGCAGCTGGCGCAGCTCGCCTCCCGCGACTGAGGGAGCGGAGTTGGTGGCCCAGCCACACACCTCGAAATGACCCGAACGCGCTGGTCCCGTGCGTTGACACCCGCACCCGGACCCTCGGCCCGCGGGGAACGACACCCAGCCTGGGGGTGGGATCACTGCTGCGGTGAGGAGGGGTGACCCGGGGTCGTCAAGCTGCGGCCAGCAGGAGAAACCACAGAGAAAAATTCTAGCGGGAGGAGGCGCCCCCGACCTGGGCCAAGGACAGGCCCCACGCCGAAGGCTGGGGGTTGAAGGTGTGTGAAGCTGTGTCCCACGTTCTGGGGATTTTAGTCTGTCGCCCCCTGGGGCCCGTCTCTCTTGCCACTCCTGCCTTTTGGCCCAGGTGGGGGTCCAGCCGGGGAGACCTGGGCACTGGCTCCGCTTGCAGCTCACAGCAGCCCGCAGGCGCCCACCACCAGTCCCCGCGCTGCAGCGAGCGGCGGAGGCCCAGTTGCGCCTAAGGAGCGTGTGACACGCCTTTGGCAGCCTGAGTGCGTGGGGACAAACCCGCCCTCGTCGTGTTTGGGGTGTCAGGAAGACGGGGCATGTAATCACGCAGTCTGGAAGGAGACTCAAACTCCCCCACTTCCTCGCCGACAAGCCCACTGGGGAAAGCACGCAGCCTGGTTATTCCGAGACGTGGGGTGTGGGGCAAATGAATCTCCCCATCTGCGCCTTACAGGTGCCACCTGGCGGTTCCGTCGGGAAGGTTTTGTCCGAGCTGCCCACAGGTACTGTAGTAGTGCCTGGAGCTGCCCCCTAAGGGCCCCTCAGCCTATCTCCTCCTCATAGGCCCGTTAAATTCACATTTCACGTGAAATAGAGTGGGAACGCTTACCTGGAAGTGTAACATTTGCCATGCGAAGAACCTATAATCCCAAAATCAGGATGGCAAAGTCAATTCGGGTTGTCAGTGCTTAACAGTTTCACCAAGCGGGAAGCTGTCTGCCCCCAGCTGTCACCCCTGCTGTCGCTGCCTGGATCCAGGCGTCCATTCACTCTACAAGCATTTGACTATCTACTAGGTCACTAGTTTTGTCATTGAGGGCAGGCGCACTGGTTGTTTAGGCTTGGGAGTGTTTTGGTTTCACCTCTGTACTCCCAGAGCTTCCAGCAAAGCCCTACATGCTGTAGTCTCAAGAAACGGTTGTAGAATAAATTAATAAAAGCCCAGCATGGTGGTGCACACCTGGAATCTCAGCACTTGGGCAGCTGAGGCAGGAGGATCCCTGCGAGTTCGAGACCAGCCCGGGCTACAAAGTGAGTTCAAGACCAGTTTGAAGTGCATAGTGAGACCCTGTCTCAAAAAAACCAACCAAACTCCCCCGCTCAAAAAAAGAATAAACTAATACACACCATGGGCTACAATCTGTTCTTGGCCTATTCTCTGAAGCCCGTTCTTTTCCTTCTGTCCAACTTGTCTCCTATCTGCTCAGCCACAATCACAGGCAAGTCAAATACAGAGAAGTGGAAGGGTGAAGAGCTTCGATTGTCCTCAGGTCTTGTCAGGGTGCAGGGTGCCCCTAAAGAGCTGGTTACACCACTGGAGTCCTCTGCGTGGAGCAGTACAGAAGCACCCCCTTCCAACAAGATGAATCCTGCTCAGAAAAGGATGCAGCTGCCACAGGGCAATTTTCAGCCTTTTGGGCAACAGTTCAGGCTTTTGTTAAAATACAGTAAAATTGAAAGAATATTAGAACATTAGGATGCCAGAGTTTTGCTGCTAAATTGAAAATATTAACATATCTGTCCTCCACATGGAGGGGTAGGTAGGTGTGTGTGTGTGTGTGTGTGTGTGTGTAGACTGCTGTAGTACTGCCAGAAATCCTAGAACACTCCTCCTAAAATATAGAATTGTGAAATAGACACACTTACTGACTCTGGAAATGAACAATTAAAGCAAGGTACCCAGAAAACTCTATTATACAGTAATTAAAATTCAAACATAGATCATGCTGACCAAGCCCTTTCACATGGCTTCTGAGGAGTATGTGATACACCTGTGTATATCTCTAAAAAGTTTGCATTGAAGAGAGACAGTCAGACAGATAGACACAGGTTATCAGAACCCTATAAGATGTATGTGCCACATGATGTTTTAAAAACTCCATCCATCAGCCTGATATTTACCCCTTTTTTGGTAATTTGGCAACATTTTCCTTGAATAAGCCTGGAGAATTCAGATGCTTTTGTGGCTTATTAAATCTAGTCAGCCTTTACTCTTACAAACCTCGAACTTTCAGCTACTTGAGCCCGCAAAACATAACTCTATTTGCCAATGAAGGACAAAATAATATTCATTTCCTTCTGAAATATTTTTGTAGGGCCAGAAGTCAGAGGTGATCACCAGTAGTTACTTCGATGTCTAAAGCAATAAAATCAAGCCGGGAGCTGCAGAACTGATGTCATGGCCCCTTTGCAGTGAGGTAGCTTACAAGTCTTTCCATACATTCAGCGCTCCTGGAGTTTTTTACTTCAAGTGAGATTGCTATGACACAGTGTGTATCTAGAGTTTTATAATCTGTTTGAAAAATTAATGCCACTGAGAGGGTCTTCCTTAGCCATAGTGTTGATTTATAGTATTAATACACTATAAAGAAAATCCTTGTTTTCATCTTCTATCAATCGGTGCTCACTAGAGAAACAGATTTAATAGAAGATATGTAACTATAAGAATTTACAAGGACGGCTTACAATGGCTGCCCACTGTCAGGTGTGGAAGAGTGCAAAAGGTCTATCTGTGCATTGGAGATTTGAAGGATCCAATCAAAGGTTGAAGGCCTGGAGCTCACTATAGTGAGCTGTGAGAGTCTATATTAGGACGTCCAAGGGTCTGTGCTAGATGGCTGAAAAATCTGTGCTAGAAGCCAGGAGATGCAAGGTGAAGGTGAAGACTGGAGCTTCTCCAAAGAAACAGAAGTGAGACTTCCTTCTTCAATTCTCTTTTATTCCACTTAGGCTACAAGCCTATTGGTGCCACTCACACCGAGGCTGGGTCTTCTGTCTTCAGAAAATCCCTTCCACCACACCCAGAACTATGCCAATCCAATTTAGTTGGCCATTTCTTAACTTTTTTTCAAAAAGTTATCTGCAAGAGTTAAATCTCTTATTCATATATGTAGATCATCTGGTGTGTGTGTGTGTGTGTGTGTGTGTGTGTGTGTGTGAATTTAAGTTAATGGGTATGTTGTTAAAAATAAAAACTTGACCTAAGGTAAAAAGGTAAATTATTGTAAAGGCACTTGTGTGTCTCATGGAATCCAAGAATAGGAATAAAGCCTGGAATTAGGGACAACTGGAAACAAAGACGTCATTGGAACTTTCTTTCTCCCTGTTTGTCTCATATACTACATGCTTCATTTACTCCCTCTCTCTGTCACTCTTTCCTCTCAGACTGTGCAGGACAGAGAGGCATCATAGAGGAGAAACAGTTCATGGCAGGCAGAAAGCAAGATGGCAGCAAAGCAGCAACCAGCAAGCAAGTGATCATAGCAACCCTCTTTCCATCCCCCGTATTCTATACAGGCTGCATGCACTTAGGGTGGGTAGCACTCACACCCAGAGTGGACCTTCACATAATCCACACGTCCAGAACTATGCCAAACCAAACTAATTTTGTAATCACTCACTCTTAATTCCAGTATCACACACTCTAGATCCAGCCATGTCTGAAAAGCCCCACCTATGACCACATGAGGTTTTGGGAGGACATTCAGACACAAGCCGTAACGGAATGTAAGGAAGAAAACATAAGGAGCAATAATACTGTGGTGTACAGATTCATCTGTAAGTCTCAATGCTGCGTGAGACAGAATACCCCTTATTGCTGGTGGTGCTTTCAGGCGGCTTGTCCCTGTAGAAGTAGCAGCATGGTTTTATGATCTCTTGACATGAGACTGGATAAGAAGAAGGAATTAAGTTTCTCACAGACAGTTTACTCTAGCTTCTGTTTTCATGGCAAATTAAATCACAGATTTTTAAATGAAGCAAATGGGTGCAAGATGAGTTTACATTTATTGAAATTAAACATTCTGCTCTCACTATAAGTAATATACTGTATTTCTAAAGCTGTGTATAAATTATATATTTCAAGTTGGATCATATTTCAAAATATTACAGGATGGAAATTTTTCACATTCTTACGGTTATAAGCACCTTTGAAAATCTGAATTTAGTCTTAGAGTTTTTCTCCAGAAAAAAAAATGAGTTTATGCACACACACTTATATCAGGATGATATATTATTGAGATCTGGATCTTCACACTACACATTGCGTTTGTCTTTTGCCAACCATCCTTATTTGAACAAGTGAAACAAAGACTCCAGAATCTTGAACAAAACATGCAAAATACCAGTAGATACAAGCCAAAAATATACATTTGGGCACATATGTGAATCCAGGAGCTAGCACCCTCTCTTGCCCTGAATGAGACCTACATGAGCCACAGGTAACAAAGGAAGACAGAGATTTTAGAAAAGTAGAACATGGCAATGCAAGGAGGACTGTTGTATTTATCTACTAGGGCTGCTATATTAAAGTACAAGAGACTGGGTGGCTATGGAGATTTATTTCTCAGTTCTGGAGGCCAGAAATTCAACAAGTTTTATTTCTGAGGCATCTCTCCTTGGCTCAAAGATGCCACCCTCTCTCTGGGCCCCTATGTGGTCTTTCCTCTCTGTACCCCTCCTGAGGTCTCTTTGTGTATTTAAACTTCCTCTTTCTATAAGGACACCAATGAGATTGAATAAAGGCCCTCCCTAACTCCCTCCTTTTAACCTAACCATTTCCTGTGAAGGCCCTGTCTCCAAAAATAGTTACAGTCTCGGGCACTAGGGGTTAGGGCTTCAATGTTTGAATTTAGGGGAAATGAGGACAGTATTCCAGAGCAAGTCTGAAAATAAAGTCAGGATATAGGTTCCCTTTTACTCAAAGAGGACCCAAAAGTACACAGATTTGCAGCCAGTTTTTCCATTGGATTATTTTGAAAATCTCAGTCATGATGGAAAAGCCTAAAACACATAAGTGTATGTACAATAGAAATATAAACATCAGTTTGCCTTATCCAGATGCTCAAGCACTGATGATCTCTGAACTTTTGTGTGTTGTCTAAGTGATAAGGGGACTCTGACACCTATGGACTGAAAGAGGCTTGGAAGTCACTTGGAAAAGAAAGTCCATGGAGCAGGGAAGCCCAAGAGACTGCCTGGGAGGACACCCAGGTTAATGCCAGTGAAAAAGTAAAGGCTAATTGAGTGAAATATACCATAGAAGCATCTGAATCCTCCAGGTTGTCTACTGCTTCAGGGACATGTGGCCACAAATGACAGAGCAATGACCTCAGTAGTCTTGGTGGCTACGTACCAGAGCCATGCAATGCTTCACACACACTTGGAGGGCACGTGTGAAGTCAGCTGTGCACAAAAAGTAGAAAAAGCCATCATCAGCCAAAGATGTCCCCAATGTCACAGTGCTTCATAAGTCACCTAAACCAATAAGCTACCACAAAGGTGAGAGAGATCATCAGTACATTAGATGTAAGGTACTGGATATGATGTAAACTGGGAAGGCTTGGCTTAGACTTGTAGACAGGACTAGTAAGAAAAAGAAATTAAGTTTACTGAGTACAAATATGGGTGTATAATAAGTTATTTTCATGGTAGAAAAATTATGTTCTACTTTTTCTACCTGAGGTTTGAAGATTCTACTTTATACTAGTATTGTATCTTTTATGCTTCACACATTTAATACCTTGTCAGAAAGCTCACAGATCTCTGTGAACAGTATCTATTATCACAGATTAAGAGTATTTTTCCCTAGAGGATCTGGTTCTTTCAATCTGGTTTTTATAGTGAAACTTCT